TGCTCACAAGGCTTTCTGATCACCCTCAGTCATTGTCCTGAAGCTGAACAAGGAAACGGGTCAAGACTAGAAACCAGAGGCAGCTAAACCAACCTGCGTGGTCTAATGTGCATTTCTCCACTGAGGAGAAGGCTCAGCCACATGGAGACCGGATTTCATTATTTCATCTAAGATGGGGAACACCTCCTTTTCACTTCCGCTGGTAAACAGCTGGTTCTCTCTTTCTCTCTCTCTGTCTCTCTTCCTCTCCCTCTCCCTCCCCCTCCTGCTCCCTCTCTCCTTCCCTACCTCCCTCTCTCTCTCACTTTTTTTTAATTTATTTTATTGATTTTTTACAGAGAGAAAGGGAGAGAGATAGTTAGAAACATCGATGAGAGAGAAACATCGATCAGCTGCCTCCTGCACACCCCCGACTGGGGATGTGCCCGCAACCCAGGTACATGCCCTTGACCGGAATCGAACCTGGGACCTTTCAGTCCGCAGGCCAACGCTTCATCCACTGAGCCAAACCGGGTTCGGCTCTCTCTCACTTTTTGACAAGTAACCTTAAGGATACTTCTTTCTACTTGATTATACTCAGAGATAACATTATTTAATGCAAATCCTACTACCCAGGATGAAGATTCTACAGCTAATCCATTTAGAGTGTGTTTTCTCCCTGCCTCATTTAAAAATACATTTTCATATTAAAAATTAACATGTGCTCTTTGTAAAAAGGAAAACAGTGCAGATCAAAGGTAAAAATGAGCCCTAGCCAGTTTGGCTCAGTGGAGAGAGCATCGGCCTGCGGACTGAAGGGTCCTAGGTTCGATTCCGGTCAAGGGCATATGCCTGGATTTCGGGCTTGGTCCCCAGTACCGGGTGTGCAGGAGGCAGACAATCGGTGATTCTTTCTCATCATTGAGGTTTCTATCTCTCTCTCCCTCTCCCTTCCTCTCTGAAATCAATAAAAAAATATATGTTTTTAAAAAGGTAAAAATGAAAGCTCTCTCTCCACCCCAATTCCTAAGAGTGGTGGTGGCCGTCCTCATCCTCCCAGGCATTTTTGTGCGCATACAAAGACACATACTCAACAAGAGGCTATTTCATTCATTCTAAAATTAGAATATTGCATACACAGTTCTACAATGTGTTTTTGCAGCCATCATATTTCATGGACACGCCTCCACCTCAGTCCCTACACAACAGTTAATAGCTGCATAGCTCTGGTCCCTGTACCAGCTTGCTTAACTGAATCCCTATGTTTAGACTATTTATCCATAGATACCTTGACAAACATGAGTAATATGTTCTGGGAACATTTATCTTTATGAGGGTGACTCTCTTCTGTTCCTTCAGATATTAACACCCTTATACAGCTCCTCAGGAAGGCATCCCTGACCAAACTCGAAGTTACTACGACCCCTTACTCAGCTTCATTTCTGTCATAGAATTGTCTCTCTCTAATGGTATTTACGTATTTGTTTGTTGATTCACAATCTCCCCAACCTCAGTGTAAGCTCATCCAGGGCAGAGGTTCTATTGTTTAATTTACTGCTACATCTCAGTGCCTAGAAGCCTAGGAAAATGCATAGCAAATAGTAAGTGTTCAAAAAGTATTTACTGGATGAATACTCAAGCATATAAGCATAACACAATGGATATTAAAATGCGCCAAAACCGGTTTGGCTCAGTGGATAGAGCGTCGGCCTGCGGACTGAAGGGTCCCAGGTTGGATTCCGGTCAAGGGCATGTACCTGGGTTGCGGGCACATCCCCAGTAGGAGATGTGCAGGAGGCAGCTGATCAATGTTTCTCTCTCATCGATGTTTCTGACTCTCTATCTCTCTCCCTTCCTCTCTGTAAAAAAAAAAATCAATAAAAAAAATATATAAAATGCATCCTTTCCTGAAATTCTGGGTTTCCAGTTTGGAGGGGTGTGTGTGTGTGAACAACTACAGTAGCTATGGCTCCAAGAACCAATTCCTTAGTGGATTCTACTGTAAATTTATAAAATGGTGGAGTAGGTTGGACTAAAGGAAATATTCTAACAGGAAATCAAAGGTCTTTGAACTGCCATTCAGGAATCCCCCCCTCCTCACTGATAATCTTTCCACTTTTTCTCGTATCAAATAAGGGAGACATTTGACGTTCTGTCCCTAATGTTATATAAATTCTTCTCCAGGCATATAGAATCCTCTCTATTACCTGTCAGTTCATTTATACTGTCAGACTCTAAACAATCAGGAGTTATTAAACAAGTGTATGATGAGCTCGTCACTAGACTGGGCTTCATCGTGTGCCGTTTTTCTTGATATATTACATTATATTGGGTACTGCACCTAGCAGGTGCCTAGCACAAGCTTACCTGTCGTTCCGAAAGATCTTTGGCAGATACCTTCTAGGGAACCACATGGCCAGAGCACACATCAGAACCCAAAGGATTGCAAGTTCATCAAGCATCTGACCCAGGAAACTCAGAGTTGCATGGAAGTAGACGGATCCAATTCCTAGAATCAATTACAACCAATAAAAAGTGTCACCGAAGAAGAAAAGACTCACAAATTCAATACACTGCTTAAGGAGAGCCCTTTCACCAACTGCTGTCGCAATCACCAGATCGCTCGCTCTCTCTGAAAAAAGAAACCGAAGGAAGAAACTCACACCACCTAGGCATGCAGACTTCAAGTCTAGAAAGAGGATTTCAAGGAGGGCCTAAATATCAGCACTTCAGAACTTTAATGCTTCCACAGGTGAGCACGGTCTCTCTTCATCCACTAGCCTTCATGGGAACAGGCAGTAAAAAGAAGTCAACATTCTCTCCCTGCTAAGAGTTCCCAATCTGCCTGTGGAAGGAAATGGAAATTACCCAAGTATTTCCCAAAACAATGAAGGATCAAACAACCAGAATTTGTTTTGTTTTTTACCTTTAGTCCATTAGGAACCAGTCTCATCAGAGTTAGTTCCATTGTTCCACATGACTTTCTTCAGAAGTTCTCAGAAACTGCATTGGCATACCACCAATGGCAGTGAGATAAATGAACTCTCAAATACAATTGATAATTACAGCCAACCTTGTTATCAAGCCCATATTTGAAAGAGTGCTTCTGGCCTCAAGCAACCCACATAAAAGTGCGCTAAGACGTCAGAGTGACTTTGGTTTATAAAACATAATGTTCACAGGAGACAGGAAGTGTTGGAATACCATTTCCTCCCTTTCAGCCCAAGCTCCCAAACCGGTCCACTTACCCACTACAACTAAAAGAGTCCATATTAAGTAGATGCCACTGTTGAAGCACGTTGCGTACTGGCGGAACAAGCACATGCAGATGGGAGGTAAAATGAAAAACAAGACGTTGCTGATCTGGGGGGAAACGTAAAATGAAAAGATAAATATTAAGTAAAAGGGCAAAAAAAACAAAACAAAACACAAAGCAGCTTGTTCCAGTATGTCCTTTGCAAACTGAGATCAATGTGGCCATGCATCTTGTCTAAGCACTTATACTTTTCTTCCGGCAGATCCACAACAGGAAAACGTAAAACTCCTTGGATACGCATGTAGCGGGCTCCTTCCCGCCGCGTTGGTCAGAGCAGCGGCAGTACCAGCACTGCCATCCGAAAGCTGCTCAGGCTCCCCCGGGATTCAAAGAATCAGGGACTTGTTCTTTTCCCGCTCAGACGAACTAAGAAGCCTTCTAGTTTACTTGCACATACACTTCTTACAATAAGATCCATATTAAATAATGATAAAGTTTAATACAGGTGAGGAGGACTAGGCAAGTTGGAGCCCCCAGCAACTTTCTGCCAGCAAGACCAGCCTTTTCTCCCAGGCCCATAGAAGGCAGACTCTTCCTAGATTCCCCTGTCGCCCTTTGTCGCTTCCTCATTCTATCTAAAACCTACTTTCAGGTGAAGATCAAATTTGTGGGTTCTTTCCCAGCTTTAAAAGGATACCATTTTATTTATTTTTTAAATATATTTTTGTTGATTTCAGAGTGGAAGGAAGAGGGAGAGAGATAGAAACATCAATGATGAGAGAGAATTATTGATCAGCTGCCTTCTGCACACCCACTATAGGCATTGAGCATGAAACCCAGGCATGTGCCCTGACCGGGAACTGAACTGTGCCCTCCTGGTTCAACCACTGAGCCATGCCGACTGGGCAAAAAATGATATACCATTTTATCTTTCAGACTTCAGTGTGGATTTAAGCCTCTCTGTTATCTCTCCAGAAGGCATTTGGCTTCATATA